TCATACCGCATCTGGTAGCTCCCCACAACTTCCGATGCGAAGTCCGAACTCACAGTGTTCTCCTATTGAAGGGAGTAAAACATTACTAGTCTCACAGGTCCTGTGGGCCAAGAATTTGGACAGGACCCAGAAGGAACAGCTTGTGTCTACATAACATCTGGGGCCTCAGCTCAAAGACTTGTAAGCTGGGGGCTGGAATCCTGAAGGCTCCTTTACTCACAGGGGAGGGTTGATCAGCAGAGGTCTTAGCCGGGCATTGGCTGGAACTTCTACATGTGGCTTGGCCAGGTGCCCCGGGCGTCCTCACAATGCGGTGGATGGGCTGACAGAGAGAGAGGGAGAGAGGGGGACTTTGACACCTTTATGACCTAGCAGTGGAGGCTATACATCTTACTCATCAAGGCAGCCACAAAGGCCTGCTCAATTTCAAAGAGGGGAAATGGACTCTACCTCCTGTGGTAGAGTCCATGTGGGATCAGAAGTATCTCTGTGGCCATTGTTAGACGGTACACATAGGAAAATATTAACATTTAGAGCTGCAGAATCACAGCAGGCCTTGAATAGGAGCCTCGGGCCATGTGCAGAGTGGAGAACAAGAGGCAGGGAGGCCAGCGACAGGGGGGCATCAGGCAGGAAGGAGGGGGTGGGGCGGGGGCCGATAGAAAGAGCCCAGTTGCAGGTGAGGCACAGATATCACCTCAGCTTTGTCACCAATGTGGCAGGCCATTTTCCTTCTTGGAGCTTACCTCTATCACTTGTAAAATGACTGAGACAAAAAATAAAGGGAAGAGGTTTCTTGTTCATATTGTGGACCCTTTAAGGATCTGATGATAGGAGTGGACCCTCTCCTCAGGGGAAGAAAGGTGCATTCAGGCGCATACGTGGAAGGTTGGGCCGAAAGTTCTGGAGCGCTGCATCCGCCTAGCTCTGGTTAAGGATGGGGCCTGTGGAACATGAATGTCTGGGTGTGAGTCTTGCCTCTGCTCCTCACCAGGGAAGGGACCTTGGGCAACTGACTTTCCCTTTCTGTGCCTCTGTTCCCCCCCACCCCCCAATGCAGTTAGGAAGGACCTCAACATTCAGTGACTACATACAACAAAACGGTGGCTGTTTCTCTCATCCGGAAGAGCCCACAAATGTAGTTGGTGGTGTCAGTTCAGGAGGATCTTTGTCTCTTAGAAAATCTCTTTGCCCTGAAGATCCCCTTCATCTCATTGCTCAGAGTGGAGCCATGTGACCAGCCCCTGTGAGTGAGGGTGGCGGAATGGAGCCCTACCTCAGTGGCTCTGGTTAAACCAGGCCAGTAATCGCAGCTCAATGGATGTTTGCAAATGTGTGGAGACAGTCAGGTTGTCACAGTGATTGGGCATTTAGTGGTAGGGAGCTGCTACCATGCACGGGACAGTCTTACATGAAGAATTATACTCCCCCCAAATGCTAAGGGCATCCCCCATTGAAAGCCTGTGCAGCCCTCTGATGTCTGCAGCAAAGGCAGCGAGGAAGGAAGGCTGGAAATGAGGGTTGGGTCAGCCAGTCCACGGCATCTGCCACCGCATCCGCCAGTTTGGTCGCTGTGAGGAGCCTGGGTCAGTGCTCAGGTCAATGCACAGGCAGGTGCTGGGATACCCTGAAGGTCACGAGCCTGCAGATGAGATGCTCTGAAACTGTCTGGGGCCCTGCTGGACCTGGGGCTGAGGCCTGAGAGGAGACACTGTGAAGAATAAGCCACAGCCCAGGAGATGGACGCATGTGGAACACAACGTCTCCGCGTGTGCTCTGCTTTTCCTTCGAGCTCCGTGCCTGTCTTTGAAGCCTGCCTGGCATTCGGGGGCTGCCCAGGGTGCCCTACCACATCCTACAGTGTCATGCCACGTCTCTCTGTCAATCCCCAAAGGGACCCTGACTCAGCAGACACAGCAGGGCAGGTAAAAGGAAGTGGGGGAAACGTTTGCTTGTCACCACGTCCGTCCATCTGGCCCAGTTCCCGGCAGGCAGGGAGTCAGTCCCCTGGTGGGTGTGGACCAAAGCCACAGCTCTGCCGGTGGGCCTCCTTCAGACCTAGGGACAGGAGAAGTCTGAGCCTGACCTCTGGCCTTCTAGGGACTTTTGGGCTGCTCCTCAAAGAGAGAGCACCGTGATCCCTCTTGCCCTTCCCCCAAATCAGGAGAAACCGATTTTCTCCCCTGCAAACAGGCTGAAGTATTTCATTCTGGTGACTACCAGGCCAGTGTAAGATCAGTGGCTTCCCACAGGAAGGTGTGGGCCACAGTCTGGCCTCTTAGAACTGGGGAGTCCTCAGGTGATCCCAGGTGCCCTCCCTGAACACCTGCTGTATGCAGGGCACTGTGCCAAGCATTTTGTAAAATTAGTTCATCCCGTGCTTATGACATATTAGCAGAGGAGGTATCATTATCCCCATTTAGTGGATGAGGAAACTGAGGGTCAGCAAGTTGAGCCACAGGTTCGCGTCCTCATTGATGGATCAAGCATCTGAGACACGAGATGACCCGCCCAGAGTGGGGACCTCCTGAAGCAGGGCTTGTCTCCCTGGGCTGGGCCTGGCTGCTTTGTCGGAGGGTATTTATTCTGGACCCATCCCAGGGACTAAGGCTCAAATGGACATGTTGGGCCAGCAGCCAAGTTCCTGGTTACCAGGCCTCCCCAACATCTGCCCATTGCTGTCCCGCTGACTCATGGAGCCCAGAAAGTCCAAATTTTATAAGGTCAACCCAAGTGCCCTGGGACTTTGTACTTGTTGACATGTAGGGCTAGAACAGCTTCTTCCGTTGGGGGTGTGGGCATGGGATACACACATGCCGTCTGTCTCCTAGACCAACCTCCAGTCACAGGGGACAGCTTCTGGGCTCTGGGAAGACCAGAGCTCCAGAACCACCTTCCCCCACCCACCCTGATCTTGACCAGGTTGACCAACCCTCACTCTCCCTCAGCCGCAGTGGACTCATCTGAGGAATTCTTTTTTTTTTAAATCCTCACCCGAGGATATTTTTCCATTTTTTGTTCAGATAGAGTGGGAGGGAGAGAGAGGAACAGAGAGAGAGAGAAACATCGACGTGAAAGGAACACATCGAGTGGCTGCCACCCGCACAACCGACCAGGGCCGGGGACAAACTGCAACCGAGGTACGTGCCCTTAGTGGGAACCGAACCCGGGTCTCTCAGGACCGCAGGCTGACGCTCTAACCGCTGAGCCAAACCGGCCAAGGCTCATCTGAGGAATTCTAACCCTGAGATTCCCAACGGGCAGGAATGGTGGAAACACATTTATTTTGCCCCACCCTACGCAATGCCTCTTCCACCAGAAACAGCCATTACATTTCATCTCCTGTTCAGATTCTGGTAGATAAGCAGTGACTGTCTGGAACATTGTGGGGAGAAGGATTCCACAGCTATGCGATGATAGATTAGCAATGTCTGCCACGGCCCAGGACTTGGGGGGGGGGGGGGTAATACGTGTGCTGCGTGTTTACCATAACTATGATCCCCCTAGTGTGGTGTCCCAAGTGAACCCTCAAGGAGTTCCCCAAGTGCTCCCCAGAGGTGAGGTGCCCTAATAACCCCATTTCTGTGAAGGCTGAGTCCTTGGAAAAATTACTCAGGTGTTGCGAGGGGATTTTGCATTGGTTCGTGCTTCTGTTAGCCACTTCCTGTCCCAGATAATCTGCTCCAGTGGCTGCTCTGGGGTTTATCTGTGAGGTCACAACTGATGCCTCGAGGCCTTCGATTCTCCTGTTATGGACAACAGTTTCCTCAGGCTGCCCACTTTCCTGGCAGTGCCCCTGCTTTTAAATGCCCCCATTACCAAAAGGTACACCCCCTCATGACCCATTCTTGGCTGACATGCAAATTTAGACCTGGTTTATGTGGCTGAGGTAGCAGCTGCCTGGCTCTCCCAGGGCTGCTTTCTAAAAGCAGAAACCGAAGTCTCTCTAACGACGGGATTTCAGCCGTGGTGGCAGATCGACGGGGACACATCTGAGGATGTGGGGGTGGCCTGGCATTCCTCCAATCAGCCAGGCCAGTCAGTGTCCAGATAGACCCCACCTGTCCCTGTTTGCTGAGCACTGATCGGGTCTCTGCTGTATTTCCTCCTGAGACAGACTTGTTTGGCCCTGACAGGTGATTCCACCCCACCCTGCTTTCTGGGTCGTAGGGCTCCAGTGCCCAGGCCCAAGGAAAAAGCCCTGTGCTTGTCATGGGCTCTAAATTGCAGAGAATGACTTGGGGCGGTGGGGAGCATTTTGCAGGATCCCAGTATCTTCCTGAGAGAAGGAACCCCACCCCCACCAGTGCACCTGCCCTTTCCACAACCCCTCACCAAATGGATGCTCAGTTTTCACTTACATACCCTCTGAGACAGGGAGCTCAGTCGGGAGGGCTGGAAATTCTAGGTATCTTCTACTCTTTGTGTTTTTATGTAGATTCGAGTTTTCCACCATGAAATCATTCGTTTAACAAATATTTAAGGAGCACCTGCGAGGTGGCAGGCACTGTGAAAGCTCCTGGGGATATAGCAGGGAGCAAAGCAGACAAAATCCCCTGCACAGATAGAGCTGACATGCTATAGGGGGGAAAAGGCAACAAACAAACCAATAAGGAGAATATAGAGTGTGTCCAGTGGTGAAAAGTGTTAGGAGGAAAACGAAGCAAGGAAGCAGGATGGGGAGTATTATGATTGCATTTTAGCATGCTGGAGGCAGTGAAGGCGCCATTCCAGCAAAGCCCTGAGAGAGAAGAGCAGACTGAGACACATGGGAAGGAGGTTCAGGGAGGGCGGAACGGCCCATGCAAAGACCCTGAGGTAGGAGTGTGGCTGGAGAGATAGAGAACCAACAGAGGCCAATGCTCTGGAGCCAAATCAGCCAGGTGGGGATTATGGGAGGTCAGATGAGGGCAGGAAGACACAATGGGGGGGGGGTGGGGGTGGATGGTGCTTATGTACGTATGGCTTTCGTAATGCAAGAAGTGAAATTTTTACAATAGGAAAAGATCCGATTCTAGTAGAAGTTCAAACCCAGACGGAAAGAATACCCAAATCCGGTCATGGTGAGCCAAGTGAAGACCACTTCAGGAACGGCATGATGAGCTCAGCATTTCTAACGGTGCCTGGCACATCCTCTGGAGCCAAAGGGACAGGGCAGCTGAGTTTTTACAATCAATGGTATTGATCTAGGAAAACGGAAACCAAAATAACTTTGTGGGGTAAGAGACTTAACGGAAAGGGCCGGGCTTCCTGGGGCATAGTGGGGGTGGGGGAGGGTGTTAGTGTTCTCAGGCCTGGATCTGAGCAAGGGTGCGGAGGTGAGCATGGACTAGTGCCCTCCCCTGCTCCCTTGGGCCTTTGAGCACCTCCCAGAACACTCACCAATCTTTGGCAGGTAGGGGAGTCCCCACACATTGCGTGGGTTCGGTCATTTGTTATGTAAACCTTAGTGTGAGTCAGCCCCATCAGCCTGGCCTGCCAGGGTGTCCAGACCCCTGAAGGAGAAACCCCCACCCTGAGGTGGCCGTTCAGTAGGCCACCTCCCAGAATACTCCACTGAGTCCTAATCTGCCTCACCCAACTATAATATGCCTGTTGCCCCGGCCGGTTTGGCTCAGCAGTTAGAACGTGGGCCCGAGTACCAGAGAGTCAGTCCCGGGTTCAGTTCCTGCTAAGGGCATGTACCTCGGTTGCGGTTCATCCCTGGCCCTGGTTGGGGTTGTGCGGGTAGCAGCCAGTCAATGTGTCTCTCTCACATCGATTTCTCCCCCCACCCCCTACTGCTCTATCTGAAGATAAAAGCAAAAATATCCTCGGGTGAGGATAAAAAAAATATATATATATATATATATATGCGCATGCCTATTGACCAGGAAGCATATGCCACTCAGAATGTGCTCCATGACTTGGTAGCTAAACTTGGGCCAAGGGCTTTAGTTCCAGGCATACTGACTGCCCTGTGTCTCCTGGAATTAGCTGAGGCTATGACAGGGAACAGGGACAGGCCCCAGGACAAGGACTGAACCGACAGGCAGCAACAGGAGAGAGGGTGGGAGATGACATGAGGCAGGGCAGGAGTAAACGGAGGTAGAAGGCCACGGGGAGGTGATAGCCACAGCGCAGCCAGGCAGGGACCTCGTAAGAACATTCAGAACGCTCAGTCCTTTGACCGAAGCTGACAAAAGTCATTGTTACAGTCACGTACAGAGATCATTATCTTCTAAATGGTATTTTTGGCATGTGTGTGTGTTTATTCACTTTGATATTGGAAGAGAGAAGGCAGGATTACTAGGCCAGGCTTGGTGCACTTTCACCCAGGACTCAGGGACAGAGTTCCAAGGAAGTCCAGGCTCTAACAGGGACTCTACCCTCTGCCCCAGATGCCAAATATCCTCCCTATCCCATTTTAGTCGGGTATAGCCACAGTGAGCAATAATGGTAATGGCCAGGACATGATGGTAAATAGAACAGTAAGGCCCCTGCCCTGGCCACCAGCCCTTACAGTGGTCACTGGGGTCAGCCGGACACTGGTTCACATTCAGACTTTCTGTACATGTGGCCTTGAACAAGGTCTTTAATCTCACTAAGACTAAATGTTTTCATCTGCAAAACGGGGCCTGGTTTACAGGGTCATTTGGAGAATTACATAAAACCCTACATGTAAAGGGCTTCGCGTGGTTCCATCAAATAGCAAGTTCCCAGTACATGTTACCATTTCAATTATCTTCATGATCATTGCTGTCAGCATGGCCACCTTACAATCTACTGTTGACACAGGATTTCACCGCCCGCGTGTGCATTTGTGTTTATGATTATATTGGCACCAAGCAGTCCTTTTTAATTGTTGCTGGCTAACAAGAAAAGAGCAGAGGCAGATTTAATGTGTAAATGATGTGTTGAAGCCAAGAGAAGGCCAAATGATGTAACAGCCCACTGTGCAAATAGAAGTATTGCAGTAATTCAAATAGAGAAAAGTAGTGGGAAAACTGAGTCACCCCCAGCACATGGCAGCACCCACAGGCATGTCATATTCAAAAAGGGACCTGCTCTCATTGGTCAGCCCTGTATCTCTGCAAGCGGCAATTTGGTTTCAGCCAAACATCATCCTTCCCCCTGAACTAATGTTTAATGAATTGTGTTGGGTTTGTAGTTTTGTTTATTATGTAAATTTCTCTAGAAAGTGAAAAATAAAACAAATTGTAATATGCTACCTTTTGATTTTAAAAAAAAAGGGCAGGGAGTACTATAAGAATATGCCCGGCCAGTATAGCTCAGTGGGTTGAGCATCGTCCCATGGACTGAGAGGTCCCGGTTCGAGTCCCGGTCAGGGCACATGCCTGGATTGTGGGTTCGATCCCAGTGGGGGTTGTGCAGGAGGCAGCCGATCAATGTTTCTCTCTCACATCGATGTTTCTACCTTTCTCTCCCTTCCTCTCTCTCTAAAAAAATCAATAAAAACATATTTTTAAAAAAAGAAAGAAAGAAAGAATAGAGAGGTAACCCTAGCTGATTTGGCTCAGTGGTTGGAGTGCTAGGACCAACAGGTCTCAGGTTTGATTCCCAGTCAAGGGCATGTACCTGGGTTTCAGGTTTGAACCCTGGCCCCGGTCAGGGTCATGCGGGAGGCAACCAGTTGATGTGTCTCTCTTACATTGACGTTTCTCTCTCTCGATCTCCCTCCCTCTTCCACTCTATCTAAAAAAATCAGTGGAGCCCTGGCCGGTTTGGCTCAGCGGTTAGAGCGTCGGCCTGCGGTCCCGAGAGACCCGGGTTCGGTTCCCGCTAAGGGCATGTACCTCGGTTGCAGTTTGTCCCCGGCCCTGGTTGGTCGTGCGGGTGGCAGCCACTCGATGTGTCCCTTTCACATCGATGTTTCTCTCTCTCTTCCTCTCTCCCTCCCACTCTACCTGAACAAAAAAAAAAATAGAAAAATGTCCTCAGGTGAGGATAAAAAAAAAAAAATTAAAAAATCAGTGGAAAAATATCCTCGGGCGAGGATTAACAACAACCAACAAAAGAATAGAGAGGTAAATGTACATATATACAATTTTTTTCTTTTTTTGCAGAAATGAGCACTGGAGAGATCAATCAGATAGAAGAAGTATTGATACTCAAGTGTGGAGGAGAACCACATAGAAGGAGCCAGAGGTCAGAGCAAGATTGCTTCGTGTGTTTTTTCTCTATGGTTTTGACCTTTGAATCATTTTGGGCGGATGGCTGCACGGCTGTATACCTAGACTAACAGAACTCTTTCATCTCACTCAGCTGGGGAGGTTGCAGAAATCTTTTTCCTGTAAGAGGACTGAAGGAGGCTCAGGTTAGAGACCCACTGTCAGGGATAAAGAGCCCTGTTGCTTCCCAGGAGAACATATCCCTAGAATACTACCTGGAAAGTATTTCTTCTGAAAAATGAGAAGGTCAGGAAGACCAGTGTTGCCAAAACTCTGTGAGAAGAAACTTAGCAAGCACAAGGATGTGGCCCTGGGAGACAGGACAGCCACCAGTGCCCATGTGGCCAGACTGCCAGGCACCCCTTAGAAAGCACTGCCCACTAGTGTGTGTGAAATGGGTTCTAGAGCCTCCAGCCCCAAACAGGCATCAGTGTGTGGGGCGGCAGCTGCCAACAAGGTCCTGCCAGCCTCCACCATCCTGGTTCATTTGCCCCATCCAGCTGCCCACATATTCTGCATGTCATGAAGTGAACAAGTTGGGAAGCACTATCACAGAGGAAGGACTATGTTGACCTCCGTCCTTAGAAGCAAGAGATCAAAGGAGCAGATAGCTTACAAAATAGGTACAGGCACCTCCTGGGCCACACCACAGGCTACATGTAGGGAGGCTGGCAGCTCTATCTAAGAAAAAACAAAAACCTAACAGCCCCAAAGGAAGAGCCGCAGTGAGGGCAGAGATTTAATCCATGAAAGCCTGGGTTTAGGCCAATGAGGAAGAGTTAGAAAGGCCACCATGGCCAATCCCTGGAAGAACATCCCTGTCTTGGAAGGAAGGAGGGTGAAACCTGATCCCCAGTGGTCATCGTCACAGGCCGGGTGCTGTGCTGAGTCCTTTATAGATATCACCTGATGAGCTGCGTAGCTTGTACCCCATTTTACAGATGAGGAAACTGAGGCCCCAGGAGGTTAAGTAATTTGCACAGGGACAGGGAGCATTCAAGGGAGTTTCAGAGCTGGACTTGAGCCCAGGGCTGGGTTGGGACCCTGCACACTGGACCACGGCCCACAAGGTTGGTGTAGGGAACGGGCAGGTCTGGACCACACGGTATAGAAATATCAGCCAGGACGACTGGGAGGTTGCAGGTGAACAGCCTTTTCCAAGAAGACAATTGTGAATCAGAGCAGAGCTGCCCACGTAATAACACCTAAGGGAACTGATGGCTGATTCAGCCATAGTTCTCCCTCTTCTGGAGGCAGAAAGCTTTCCATTCTCACTCCCCACCTTCAAATCCTGGGTCATCTTACAACTTCCCAGCACGCTCTCTAGGTCTGTTTCTTAATCTGTAAAGTGGGGAGAATCATCGTGCCTGTCTCAGTGTCGTTAGGAGCCGTAAATTAGGACATCAGCGTAAAGTGCTTAGCATAGTGCCTGAGATGGAATGAGTGAACTCTCCGTGAGTTTTAACGGTTAACTCAAAGCATTCCTTATTGCCAAGTTTCCCAGTAAAGATGCCCGAGCAGGTGTAGTTTAGGGAGAAACACCTGAGCCCACCCAAGCAGTTGGACAGTAGGACCCCAGGACTCTCAGCCTGCGGAGGCTCCAGCTTCCCAGGGCAACGTGTGGCACCCCGTCCTTCCCAGGTCTGCTCAGGAGCCCACACGCCTACTTACTGGGTCATGAAAGTCACTGTATTTCTCCACGCTGGGCCCTCATCTACCATGTAACACAGGAAGGTCATTAACGGTGCCTCCTGCACAGGGCTGTACCCCCTATGCATCTTCTCCCCACGGTCATCAGGGGGACCTTTTAAAAGGGTAAATTAGTGAAATTCTGCAAAGACTGTCCACTGCTCTGAGAATTTAATTCATCACCCTGACCGGCCGGCCACATGCTCCATGATCTGGCCCTTGCCTGCCCCTCTCA